CAAGCATATACTACTCTGGCTATTATATTGAGAATCTGTACTAGCATGAAATTCTCATAAAGCTAAACACATAAACAGGTACATAAGGCATCCTTCCTAGATCCTTAGTCCTAATCTAGCATAATGTTCTAAATAAGTTGATAATCATAACATAGCATAACCTTGTTTGGGTAATTCGGGAGTACTTACTTGGGTTCGGCTAACTGCATGCACCACACCCTTTTCTCTTTTCAAAGTTCTTTTCTAAAATACTTTTTACTTTTTCTAAAACTATTTCTTTTCTCAAAGCTCCTTTTTACAAAAATTGATTTTTCCTTTTTGAAAATTTCTATACCAATCCTTTAGTTTGAGCTCAGAAACACCCGAAAATGTGTCTGAATCCCTCAAACCAAGGCTCTGATACCAACTTGAAACATCCCAAAAATACAAGCCAAAAATTTCGTTTTTGAAAATCATTTAGCAACCATAATTTATCACCACCTAATCAAATCATCAAACATGTATCTCAAAATCTCATAAAATCTGTCAACATATAACTGTCTTATATAAAATATCAGAGTAAACTCCCAGACTACTAAAAATTGTGGTGTGTGTCATGCCATCAACTCGAGCCCTTCCTTTTGCTAACTAATGTATCTGAAACCAAAACTGATACCGTAAGCACGAAGCTTAGTGAGCTCCCTCAAACTACCACATACCATACACATATAACATACAACTAGGAGATACGGGCCCCGCCCACACTTCGATAACTAGGAGATACGAGCCCTGCCCATACTCCGCTAACTCTGAGATACGGGCCACACCCACACTCAACTACTTCGAGATACGGGCCCCGCCCACACTCGGCTGCTATGAGATACAGGCCCCGCCCACACTCAACTACTAGGCAGACATACAAACATCACACAGACAACAAGTATAACTAGATCTATCATTCAGGCTTATATCATAATCAAACTCGGCTACAAGGAAATACGGGCCCCGCCCATACTCATCTACCTGGGAGATATGGGCCCCGCCCACACTCAACTGCTAATCATAACGTGCTACCGGTCGGCCTTGGTGCTTTAGACATGTTCCTACTGAAGGGAAACTCACCTCGTGACTAGTTGCTGAAACTCTAAGTGAGGAATACCTATCTGCTGCTCTGACGACTCTCCGACTATAAATTTCCATAAAGATACTTAGTCAAAAGCTGATAACTACGCTTATGGTAAAATGACCATTTTACCCCTGGCTAAAGTCAACATCCAGTTGACTTGACTCGCCGAGGTGGTCCATCAACTTGCCGAGTCCCTATGCTTTCATCTGTCCCCAACCCGACTCTACTCTTTGAGTCTAGCAAGAACTCGACGAGACCTCCTTCAACCATAACATCAGGACAATCTTCAACTGACTCGCCGAGTTTATCCTTGAACTCGTCGAGTCCATCTTCATCGTATGAGTGTGTCTAGTATGTGACTTGCCGAGTTTTATGAACAACTCATCGAGTCTATCTTCATGGGTTGAAGATTGCATTGGACTCGTCGAGTTTGTTCATACACTCATCAAGTCCCATGGTTTCTAGGTCCGTTACAACGTCTACTTTGCTGAGTCCTCATCCTGGAATCAAATAGTTCCTTTCTAGACTCAACTAGGTCTCTTTGAATCAAAAAAAGGTTGGGGAACCAAACCCTCGCTCACCGAGTCCCAAGAATAACTCGTCGAGTCGACTAATGTCCAAGTCCATAACTCGATTTTTGTTGTGCAAATCTCATCCAAAAGGTAGATTTGGGCTCCTAAGGTTGATATAACACATAAAACCATGAACTTTACGTACATGCATAGGACTTTTATGCTCAAAGGACCAAAAATGGGGTTTATTACACACATGGGGTTCTCATGGCCATAAAGATGGCACCTTTATGCCATGAGGACCCTCCAAGGTTCCAGATCTGAAGGTATATCAACTTGGGACGTCCAAGTCTCATGGATCAAGCTACTTGGACCCAAAACTCCATAAAAATGACCACAAGGAGATCTAGGAAACTACAAGCCAAGTATGAAGCTTGATTACCAGAAAGTGAAGAGAAAATGATGTTGTTCCTGGATATATAATCTTCTCTTGAAGTCCTCCTTCTTCCTCTTCTTCACACAAGCTTCAAATCACACAAGATTACTAAAAAAATGGCACTCAAACACTCACAAGGCTCAAGGTAGCGAGTTTGGGTTTTCTAGACGTTGAGGGAGTGATAAGGGAGACCATAAGGGTTTTATGTTCCTTAAATAGGGGAATAAACCCTTAAAATTGAGGTTTCCATCAGACAACTTCTACTCACCGAGTAGGTCACTTAGTTTCCCGACCCGGAGTCGATCCTACTCAACGAGTCGAGCCTCCAACTCGCTGAGTCCAAGGGTAAAATACGAAGTGTGGCTTGAATTTAAATGTGTACTTGAGACCGAGCGTTACATGAAGCTTGGCAATTGGAGATCTCAACTTTCATCTACCTTCTAGAACTTTGTAAGTTATAAAGTTCCAAGCTTTATTACATATTCATCGTGGATCTAAGTGTATTTGGTGTTTTGGTCCATCTTAATGAGTTTCAAGATAGAGTTGGGAATAAAGTTTTCAACTTTATTACTCTCCAAGGTTTCAAGAACATTGTATGTTTCGGATCTGGACTCCAACACCCTTTTGATTAGTTTATAATGTTTTCTTGGACCTCTTGGACTAGGAAGGTTTTGGTCTTTTGCCTTCCTTTTTAGCCATGCAAGTTATGTTGGTCATTTGAGTTATTTTGGGGTATTAAAGTTTAGGTCTAGAAAGCTTGAGACATTATTATGGATAAAGTTGGAAACTTTATCCATTTATATATCATGTTGATTCAGATCTGAATGTTGAAGACTTAGACTTAATATATTAAGTTGAGAAAGATGCATTTTGGGTCCCTTTGAGACTTAAAATCTAGATCTTGGTGGTTTGGATCTTGCTAATGGATAAAGTTATAAACTTTATCCATTAAGATCTTGGAAATGATCAGATATGAGCTTTGGAGCTCTTAAAATCGGAAGAAAATGTATTAAGCTCGTTTGAGCTATTCAAACTAGTCCCCACGATGTGGCCTTAGGCTACCACAACGTGGCGATTGGGGAATCAACGACTATTTCAGCATTTAGTACCCATAACGTGGCCAAGGAAGGCCACGACATGGAAAGATGTTGTTGGCAATTTTGACCTTAGCTTTGACCATTAATTCTTTGACCAATTTGACTTTTGGTAAAAGTTGGGTAAAGTTGAATATTTAGTTAAGGATTGGTCTCGGATTGGTTTTAGGAAGCTTGGGTTGGTTGTGCTGTTGTTGAGGTAGCTGTGGAGCTTCTGTTGAATAGTTCAGCTGAGGTTTCCTCACTATACTTGTGGGTCGAAGGCACCATTATTGGACCAATAGGTTATGTATCTTGGTATATATGATGTTTTTATACTGCAGTGATCTGTTAGATATGTATCCTAGTATATAGGATGTTGCTATGCGATAGTGATATGTTGATCTGCCTGCTTGTCTGTTGATTGGTTATATATTTATCTATTACATATGTCAACATAGTGCGGTTTAGGTTAAGGCTTTACTGTTATGTGCATAAGCCAACAGACCGGGGCATTCTAGTCCGATGACTGACTGGGCCGAGACAATCCAATCCGATGACTGTGGAGTAGGGGTAATCCAACCTGATGATTGTGGACCCGAGGGTATTCCAGCATGATGATTGATTGGACCTGTTGTATATTGGCAATCTAGTCTGATGACTATGGGCCAATGGTAATCCAACTTGATGGTTGTGGATTTAATGGTATTTTGGTCTGATGACTGATTTGACCCGTTGCATGTTGGCATTCCAATCCAATCATTGATTAGGCCTAGGGTAATCCATCCCGATGGCTGTGGACCTGAGGGTATTCCAGTCCGATAACTGATTGGACCTAGCATGCATGACTGTATATGTTATGTTGTGTGGTGGTATTTTGGGGGAACTCATTAAGTTTCGTGCTTACAGTTTGATTTCATGGTTTCAGGTACATCAGATGATCGGGGTAAGGTGAATGCGTGATTATGCACATCATCTTTAGATATTTTGTTGATTGGGGATTTTGGGATATTCTAATTTATAATGATGGCTTTTGGAAACTATGTTTGTGACTTATGGTTTATAAAAATGGTTTGAAAAATGAAAAATTTTATCATAATTTTTGGGACGTTACAAATTCTTCGGTAAGACTTGGGGAGAGTAATTCAACCTTACGACTCCTATGGTGTAGTGTCAAATTAGATCACCCTTTTTGTTTCAAGTGAAAGTCGAATTAAGAGAGATGATTAAAGCTATAAATCATAATGGCTACGAAAGTATATTTTACTATTTCGCTTCATGATTTCAAGAAGAAACCACTAGAGAAAGAAGAGGTTATGTGTACATCAGTGAGCCTAGTGATGGATAATTTTCTGGTGAGCAACTTTGTTTTCCGACAATCTCTTGTCTAGTATGCATGGGGGGAGAGAGAGAGAGAGAGAGAGAGAGAGAGAGAGAGAGAGAGAGAGAGAGAGAGAGAGAGAGAGAGAGAGAGAGAGAGAGAGAGACGTCATTTTCTATATTTAACAACAATAAAATATGAAAAAAAAAATGAAAAATAAATATATTAAGGGTATAATAGTTATTTCAATTTTGAAGTACCAAATCCATAAAGAAAAATGCTCGAAAATATCATTGTTCAGTTGTACTAAAATTGGAGAAAATACAAATCCACAAAGATCTTTTTTGAAAATTCTATCGAAGATAAAATGATATTTTAGTAGTTGGGATTGGATTCAATACAAATTTTGTTGTTCCATGTTCAAAACTAATTATAAAAATGTGATTATTAAGTTTTATAAAACTCAATGATGATTTATTGTTCTTATTTTTTATTAAATTGTCAAATATCAAAAACTAAACTTGTAGAGTACAATAAGTCAAACAAATAGTCCTAATAATTGTAAAAACTCAATCCCGAACACCCCTTTGATTTTTTTGCGCCTCTCTTTCCTCGACGAATGGTGGAGGTAAGCAGTTGTTTTCACAGTTTTGACATGTAGCGTACTTTATTGTGGAAAAATTGGAGCAAAAGGCCCCAATTCCCAAATCAAAATGATAACCAAATGCTAAATTTCAACCAACATCCTTTGGGTTGCCTATCTGCTTTCTACTCGCACCTCACCCAACATATGGTTTGAATTTGATGATCCTTTTACTTTTAATGTTACAAAAAATCCAACTTTATACTGTTCTCCAAGATTTCTTGTACTTGGCCTAGGTTTTAAGTTGCCTCAATAACTCTCTTGTTCTTTATCTGAATTTTCTCCTTTTTCGTAAGAATCTTGTTTAAAGTCGGATTCTCTTCATACTGTTGTCGGCAGGTGGTGAGTAACTGAGTATCATGAAAATGTGGGAACATAATTCATCTTCACCATGGACTTCGATTCTCTTTTGATGATTATGCCCACTAGTGAACTCGGTTCCTTTGATTCTCCGTGGATTCATCAGCTTCATTGGTTTCTGCGGATTCTTTGAATTGCGTAAGGTCAGACTTCCACATCCAGAAACATTATCTATTAGTCTACTACACTCTGACGTCAAAATTAACAAAGTCTATCTGGAAGATTCCTTATTTATTTCACTTTTTAGATACTTTAGTGGTTGAACCCTTTCAGTATTTGATTGGGTTGTTGGAAGTTGAGATCAATTATAAAATTACCAATCCTAAACATCGCCCTTTTTTCTCAACATATAGGTTCGCAATTGTTCTAACAAAAAGCGTTAATCGATTGATATGATTAGGGGTATGGGTTGGCTAACTAAAATTTTAAAAGGGTCCAGCTCCAGCCATAGAATCTCAGAAGGTCGATATCATGACAGATATGAAAACGAAGAAATTTGGGAGGAGCCTCCTTCTACAGAGGTAGTTAACATTTTCTTACATGTTAAATAACATCTATCTCTATATATACCCTATATTAATGTATGTGGTCTAAAATTGTACTAAATTTCTGTACTTTTTTGTCCTAAATTTAGGATGCATTGTCAGACTTTGATCAGGAAGAAATTGACAGAGCTATTGCGTTTTCCCTTGTTGAAGAAGATGAGAGAAGTGCACTTTCCCTTGTAGAAGATGACAAAAAAAGTACACGTTCAAGTGTACATGAAGAAGAAGGCTCTGTTTCTTCTCTAGAAGAAGATCATAATGATGCAGTTTCATCTCCAGAACCAGAAGTACGTAACAAAGGATCAAATTCTCCTTCTCAAGAAGATCAGAAAGGAAAAAAAGTAATTGGTAGGTTGAAATTGAGAAATTCTCCCATCATTTCATTTGTCATATACTTATTTAAGTGATACCTCCATCTTATTAGATGAAGATCCTCATTTGGAGGAAGATGAGCAGCTTGCCATGGCTATTCAAGAAAGCTTGAACATCAACATGAACTCACCACCACGAAATAGCCATGGAAGCCTGTTTCCTCGTTTGCCAAGTTTCTTTCCAAGTGTATACAGGTAGTTTTTTTTTTTTTTTTTTTTTTAAACACGTATTTTTTCTTCCAATATTACCCTTTGCAATCCATCTGAAACATGTGGAATGTAGGATATGTGCAGGTTGCAATGGTGAAATTGGTCATGGGAGGTTTTTAAGCTGCATGGGAGGCGTTTGGCATCCAGAATGCTTCCGTTGTCATGCTTGCAATATTCCAATATCTGATTATGAGGTCCAACTCTACTCCAATTCTTTAACAAGGTGTTCCTATATTCCTTCTAAATCGACACCATAAGGTTTATAATATAAAGAAAAAAAAAAAGATGTCGGATTTGGATTCAGAAGTCCATGAAAATCACAACATTTCTTGTTTCTTGAAAGTTTTGATTTCAAAATTTTACCTTTTTACCCTTTATCATCTATGTAGTTTTCCATGTCTGACAACCGTCCGTTCCACAAATCATGCTATAAAGAACATCATCACCCAAAATGCGATGTTTGCAAGAACTTTGTAAGTTTCTTGTTTGTTATGCACTTTTGAATCTTGAAACTATGGTTGTATGTAGATAAACTGATAAAGATTGTTTTTTTTTTGGTTTAAATTTATGGGAAGATACCTACAAATGGGGCTGGTTTGATCGAGTACAGGGCACATCCTTTCTGGCTACAAAAGTATTGTCCTGGCCATGAACATGATGGGACCCCTCGATGTTGCAGCTGTGAAAGAATGGAGCCAAGAGACACGAAATATTTGTTGCTAGATGATGGAAGAAAGCTATGTTTGGAGTGTCTTGACTCTTCAATAATGGATACTCATGAATGTCAACCCCTTTATCTTGAAATCCAAGATTTTTATGAAGGGTTAAATATGAAAATTGAGCAACAAGTTCCATTGCTTTTGGTTGAAAGACAAGCTCTAAACGAAGCCATGGAAGGAGAAAAACACGTAAGTCTTAAATAACTTAAATGTTTTTCATTTTTTTTTTAAATATTAGTGAAACTATTTTTTTTAACTTCAAAAATCTTGCATTGGTAACAGGGTCATCATCATATGCCTGAAACTAGAGGACTTTGTCTTTCAGAAGAACAAACCATCAGCACTGTATGATTTTTCTTAAATCTTTAATCTTTTAACAGTAAATAGTAAATATGGTGTTGATGTTTTTTATTTTACTAAAAATGGCAGATAATAAGGAGGCCAAGGGTAGGGGCAGGTAGAATAATAGACATGTTTACAGAGCCTTATAAACTTGTTCGTAAATGTGAAGTGACAGCTATTCTCATTTTATACAGTCTCCCTAGGTAAGTTTTTGGTATAAATTAATAAATCATTCTTCAACATGTGATCATATATAGTTAAAAAAGCTCATCAATTCAGGTTATTGACGGGTTCAATTCTGGCTCATGAGATGATGCATGCATGGCTCCGGCTTAAAGGTTGTTGCTTTTTTCTGTTTTTTTGAGTGGACCATTTTGCCCTCAATCATCTTTCTTGATTCTTTCATTTCTCTTGTGTCAATCAATAAACAGGATACTCTAATCTCCCCCCTGATGTTGAAGAAGGGATCTGCCAAGTTCTTGCTCATATGTGGTTGGATTCTGAGATCATGGCTGGATCTGGTGGCACTAATGCTTCATCATCATCTTCTTCATCATCATCATCATCATCTGTTCCTGTTTCATCAAAGAAAGGGAAAAGGTCACAGTTTGAGAAGCAACTTGGTGAGTTTTTTAAACACCAGATTGAGTCGGATACATCTGCAGCTTATGGAGATGGATTCAGAGAAGGTAATAAGGCTGTGCTCAAGTATGGGCTTAGAAGCACTCTGGAACATGTTAGACTTACTGGAAGATTTCCTTGCTAGTCAACTGGAAAGTCAATGGCTTTTGAGTGTTAAAAGAAGAAAAGATGAATAAAGAACTGTTCCCATGAATGGTTCCAACTTCCAAACCCTATTTGGAAAGTGGCATTACAGGATTTTTGGTTTTTACTTTCTACAACTGTTGATATATAGGGTAAAAAATGAAATGTGATGATATAGAATGACATGTGTTTCTATTTATACAAGACCTCAGTTTAGCCCTTTCTATTTTCTAATGTTTTACTGCTTTACTAAATGACCGAAATGCTATGTGGAAGAGGTTGCAGTTGCATTGAAATGAGACTCAACTGATGTTAAAGGGACAATAAATTGTAATCTTTTGTCCCAACGAAAGTGATAGACAATTGTGTTGCTTAAAATCTCAATCATCAAGGCTAGGAGGAGTGGTAATGCATTAACACCTTGCTACGTTAACTTTTTTAATGTTAGTTATTTTTTTTTCTTAGCATCTAATTTTTAGCATTTGGTAGTGAGTGGTAACATTCCTAACATTATTTTTTTTTTTTAAATTTAATTAAATTATATTTTTTTTAAAACACAAATAATTAATATTAAATAAATTTTATTTTTTAAAACCACATAATTAAATTTTAGCATATTAGATTATTTTTTTAAAACTTAGATAAATTATATTTTTATAGAACAAACTATATTTAATATTAAATAAAAAAAGTCACAGTGTATTAAAACTTAAAATATTAAAACATGACTTAATACATAAAATTTTATATTTTAGTTTTTATTTATACTTAAAAAAAACAAGACAAAATTGCAAAAATGATCCCCGTGGTTTCTTATTTTATGTGGTTATGGTCCAAATTTTTGAAAAGTTGTAGATTTACTTTTCAACAAGTATTGTGCTTTTGGTTTCTCATTCGATAAGTTTAACTGGTTGGCTGTTAGTTTTTTTAAAATAACAATTTTACCCTCAAGGATCATTTTCACAGTTTTATCTTTTACCATACCATAGAAACCATTTTTGCATACATTCTTTTTTATTTTATTCAAGTATTATATATTAATAAATATTATCTTTAATATATAATATTATATATTAATAAATATTATTTTATTGGATTATAAATTTATTATAGTTGATTTTTTAAAATTTTTTTTTTGTTAGAGTAATTTTTTTTATTGAGTTATAATATATCAATACATATAGTTTTTAATATATAATATTTATATCATAATAAATATTATATTATTGGATTATTAATTTCTTTTAGTTAATATTTTTAATTCTTTTAAAAAAAATATTTTTTTTATTGGATTATTTCTTTTATTTCTTTTAATTTATTATTTTCTTCATATACTAAATATTGTTTTATTGGATTATTAATTTATTTTAGTTAATTCTTTTTTACAAAAAAATTGTCGAAGTAATTATTTTTTATTGAATTATTATATATCAATACATATAATTTTTAATATATAACATTTATATCATAATAAATATTATATTATTGGATTATTATTATCTTTTAGTTAATTTTTGTAATTTTTTTAAACTATTTTTTATTGGATTATTACTTTTAATTTATTATTTTCTTCATATACTAAATATTATTTTATCGGATTATAACAATAGTTCCTGTTAATTTTATTGGTTCCACCACAAAGTTATGAAATACACAAAATCGTCGTCTCTCATCATCGAAATCGTTAGGATCACTGCCAAACAATTTCATTTCATCTAACTTATAATGAGAAATCATTGGGAAAATACCACCCATCACTCGGTCACCACCACTTATAAATGTAATCGGGGTTTGTTGTGCATTATGTGGGATATGAAGGATTCCAATGGATTATTAAGAGGTTGTCGCAGGTGGCTACCACCAACGCTCGGTGGAATTGGGTATGTTATTTATTGAACCTCCGATGAAGGTTTTGGAGGTGATCCTGCTAATTTTTTACGATGATAATTGACACTTTTACGTATTTCGATGACTTTGTGGTGAAACTAATCAAATTTAAAACAATTAATAGTATACATTCAAAATAAAATAATAATCCAATAAGATAATATTTATTATATTAAAAAAATAATAAATTAAAAGTAATATTTCAATAAATTAATAACTCAAAAAAACAAATTACCAAAATTAATAAGCCAATAATATATTATTTATTATGATGTAAATACTATATATTGAAAATAATATTTGTTGATATATAATAATCTAATAAAAAAGTATTTCTCCAACAAAAAGAAATTATAAAAGAATCAACTAAAAGAAATTAATAATCCAATAAAATAAAGTTTCGTAATATGTAATAATCTCATAATATAATATTTATTATAATATAAATATTATATATTAAAAACTATATGTACTGATATATAATAATTCAATAAAAAAGAATTACTTCGACAAAAAATTTAAAAAAAGAAATTAACTAAAATAAATTAATAATTCAATAAAACAACATTTAGTATATGAAAAAAATAATAAATTAAAAGTAAGAATACAATAAAAATAATTAAAAAATAAAAAAATTAATAATCCAATAATATAATATTTATCATGATATAAATATTATATATTAAAAATTATATGTATTGATATATAATAATTTAATAAAAAAGAATTACTACAACAATTTAAAAAAAATCAACTAAAATAAACTAATAGTCTAATAAAAAAATATTTATTAATATATACTATTATATATTAAAAATAATATCTATTAATATATAATACTTCATTAAAATAAAAAAGAATGTATGCAAAAATAATACTTATACTATAGTAAAAGACAAAAATGTGAAAATGGTAACTGGAAGTAAAATTATCATTTTAATGAACTTAACGGATAAGGGACTAAAACCACAACAAAACTTGTTGAAAGGGACAAAATCTGCAACTCTTCAAATGTTTGGACCATAAACACATAAAATGAAAAATAAAAGGACCATTTTTGCAGTTTTGTAAAAAAAAAAAAAAAAAACAACTTTAGAGATTGCGTGCAATTAGCCAATTACTACGACTGGCTGTATCACATTCTCTGTGTTGACTGTTGAGTAAACACCTCAAAAGTTGAAGGACTTGATATGTAAAATTCTCTTACCAAAGTCAAGAGCCCATTTAATTCTTTGTGTCTCTCTCTTCTCGCTAGGTGCATGGTGATTATCATTTTGTGCATGAACCAGTTTCTTCTTGTAAACTTTAGACTCGGTTTGTGCCGATCAAACTTCAAACGACCATTCTTCGAGTTGTTTTGCCACACGTTCGCTTGAGAGGGAGGGGCGGGGGTATTAAGGATGTATATCTCATAAATTCTTATAGTGATATTATTGTTTGCTCTTCTTGTATGTATTTTTCCTTTCCTAATTTATTGTAATATTTGTCTGTATATTGATAATCAAATATCCCCTCCACATCAATAACGCGATTAAATTTCTTGAAATGATTTTTAAATTCTCTCTTCAGGGTGAATGTAGCTAGATAGAAAGTCCAGATTTCACCATCAATTCCTTTGCCACTTGAGATTCTTTTTTAAAGTTGTTTTGAAATCTATTAATATTCCTAAGTTGTCCTTTTCTTGTTATCCTCATCAAAGATGTTAGAATTCCATGGATTTTGAAAGTTTCTAACAAAACAACCTTTAGCCACTATGCCACAGCTAACATCATAATCTGCCGTCCCAACTTGGATTCTTTATTTAATTACATGAATACTTTACACAATTATTGAAGTCATCTTGGTTAATAAAATCAAGAAACTCATAAAGGTATGACGTATTCTACATAACTCCACTATAATATTAAGGATTGAAAACAACAGGATAGCAACTTCCCTATTCTTGGCACATAATAACAGAGATTTAGTAAGATCAAACTTCACCTGCCAATGAACCTCATTACCATGGCATTCTCATTTCTTCCATTCCTAGCTTTTTCTCTCTTCTTCATTTTTAATCCATGCATTGTCTCTGCAACATCTGCAGACACAAACTTCTCGTGTTCTGCTGACTCACCGCCTACCTGTCAAACCTACCTCACGTATCGCGCCAGGTCACCATACATGGATCTTGGTAACATATCTGATCTCTTTGATGTCAGTCGCCTAAGTATTGCAGAAGCTAGCAATCTCACATCAGAAAATCAAGAAATAGTTTTTAATCAACTTTTGTTAATACCCATCACATGTTCATGCAATGGGAGTATTTATTTCTCTAAAGTCACGTATTCAATCAAAAAAGGCGATAGCTTTTATGTTGCTGCAACTTCTGTGTTCCAGAATCTGACTAATTATCATTATGTTCAAGACATGAATCCTTCCCTAAATCCAACCAATTTAACAGTTGGTGATCAAGTGGTGTTCCCTTTGCTATGTAAGTGTCCTACAAAGTTACAAAAAACTCAAGATAAATATCTTATCACTTACATATGGCAACCAGAAGATAAACTATCACCTGTGAGCTCCATTTTTAACACAAGTTCTTATGCTATTGATAAAGAGAACAATTTTCGTAACTTCACTGCTGCTGTTTGTCTTCCGGTTCTTATACCAGTCTCTGAATTGCCAATCTTTCCTCCTCCACCTCAACTTGATGATCACCTCTCTGATGTAAAAAGTCAAAAGTCAAAGAAGGTTCGGATAGTGTTTATAGCTTTGGGAACTATCGGATCTTTCTTTCTTTTTATTCTGTTGTGGTTTTTGGTTTATAAATATCGTTTGCGTAAAGTTAAAAGAATCATGGCTCGTAACGAGTCTTCTTTTGAGTTTACTGATCTTTTACATATGAAGAAAGGTTCAAAACTTGAAGGTTTTGAACCCACAAAGAACAATCAAGATAAGTTGCTTCCAGGGGTTTCAGGGTACTTAAGCAAACCGATTATGTATGATAGAAAGGAGATCATGGAAGCAACTATGAACTTCAGTGAAAGGTATAGAATTGGAGGGTCTGTTTACAAGGCTGTAATTCAAGGTCAGATTGTGGCTGTGAAGAAATTTAGAGATGCAACAGAGGAATTGAAGATACTACAGAGAGTAAACCATACAAATCTTGTGAAGTTGATGGGGATTTCATCTGATTTTGATGGGAATTGCTTTTTAGTGTATGAGTATGCTGAAAATGGATCACTTGACAAGTGGTTGTTTCCTTTATCTTCATCTTCTTCTTCTTCGGGTTCTGTTGTTTTTCTTTCATGGTCTCAGAGGTTAAATCTAGCATTAGATATTGCTAATGCTTTGCAATACATGCATGAACATAGTCAACCTAGTATTGCTCATAGAGACCTTAGGACAAGTAATATACTTCTTGATTCCACTTTCAAGGCCAAAATTGGAAACTTTTCTGCAGCTAGACCTGCCATCAGCTCCATCAT